ACTTGTGGGAGGAAGCAATACTTTCTGCTAATTATATACTTAACAAAGTACCCCGGAAAAAAGTAAATCAAACACCTTATTAAATGTAGCATAGGAGAGTACCATCCTACAAATACTTAAAAGTGTAGAGGTATTTGGTTGAAGTGACTATTCCTAGTCCTAAAAAGATTAAGATAGGTCCTAAAATTATTGATTTCATTTTCATTGGTTATACCAAGAATAGTAGTGTATATCAGTTTTTGATTCATAAGTCAGAACATTAAGAAATGCATGTAAATACTATTATTGAATCTTGGAATGCATCTTTCTTTGAACATATATTTCCAAATAAGACTGGACAAGAGATTAGTACTAACACAGGATCTTATAATGCTATTACTAGCAAGATCAAGTACAAAAGCAAGAGATAGATCAAAATGAGGAAGAGGAACCTAGGCGTAGTAAACATGCTAGAATCTCAAATCTTTTGGTCCAGATTTCCTAACATTTTCGTTAGAAAATGAGCCTTTAACTTTTAAAGAAGCTATGTCTAGTCCTGAAGGTCCTTTATGGAAAAAGGCTGTGAATAGTGAAGTTGAATCCATCTTGCAAAATCACACTTGAAAATTGGTAGATCTGCCACCAGGTTGTAAACCTCTTGGGTACAAGTGGATTTTCAAGGGAAAAATGAAAGCAGATGGATCAATTGAAAAATACAAGGCAAGACTTGTAGTCGAAGGTTTTAGACAAAAATAAGGTCTTGACTACTTTGACATATACTCACCAGTTACTAGAATAACATCCATTAGAGTGCTAATTAGGGGTGCAACTCAGGCGGGTTTGGTCGGGTTGGGAGGTTGTCCAAGCCCAGCCCAAGTTGTGCTAAGATCTATCCGGGTCCGCGCCAGGCCCGAATTGTTACCCGATGTTGTCTGCCTAAGCCCGACCTGAATCAAACCCGAATTGCCCTAGCTGCCTGAATTGTAAATCAATTTCATTTTTTTTTCCAGCTACATTATTAAATTATTAAACTTTGACTTTATTTACATTTTTTTTATATAGAAAATCATTAATACCATCAAAACAAATAATTTATATAATGTAAAAGAGATGCCGCTATAGTAGTCTTTACAATTTGTGAGTGAAAATAAAAAGAGTAAGATTTTATGCTATTTGTATATATAATATATATTCAATATAATTTAATAATATAAATTATTTTAATATTATGTAATGGATAAGAATTTATATATATATATATTAATATTTTTATATATCTATATATGTATAATTCGGGCTTCGGGTTGCTTGGGTTATTTGATATCTTTGCTCAAACCCGCCCAAATTTAATTCGGGCTTCTGAATATTTGCCCAAACCCGTACCGAATTTGAAAATATCTTGTCCAAGCCCTAAAAAAAATTGGGCTGGGTTCGAGTTTCTCGGGTTGAGCCCGTCCATGTTGCACCCCTAATGCTAATTGACATATCATCTTTATACAATCTAGAAATTCATCAAATGGATATAAAAACCACTTTCTGAAATGGTGAGTTAGATGAAGAAATTTACATGGAACAACTAGAAGGATTTTCTATTCCAGGAAATGAAAAGAAAGTGTGTAAATTGGTTAAATCATTATATGGTCTAAAACAAGCGCCAAAGTAATGGCATTAAAAATTTGACAAGGCAATGATGTCAAATGGATTTAAAATTAATGAATGTGACAAACGTGTTTATATTAAAAACACAGATAAAGGTTATGCAATAATATGTCTTTATGTGGATGATATGTTCATCATAGGTAGTAATAATGACATGATTAAAACTACCAAGAAAATGTTGAATAAACATTTTGACATGAAAGACATAGGGATTGTTGATGTAATACTATATATGAAAATTACCAAAACATTAGAAGGTTATGATTTGTCACAAGCACATTACATTGAGAAAATACTTGACAAATTTAGCATAAAAACACAGATAAAGGTTATGCAATAATATGTCTTTATGTGGATGATATGTTCATCATAGGTAGTAATAATGACATGATTAAAACTACCAAGAAAATGTTGAATAAACATTTTGACATGAAAGACATAGGGATTGTTGATGTAATACTATGTATGAAAATTACCAAAACATTAGAAGGTTATGATTTGTTACAAGCGCATTACGTTGAGAAAATACTTGACAAATTTAGCAAAGATGATGATCATTTTGCTAGAACACCTGTGGATGTTAATTTGTTTCTTTCTAAGAATGTACAGGAAAGTATTTCTCAATTAGAGTATGCTCAAATTATTGGAATCTTAATGTACTTGATGAACTGCACTTGCCCAGATATAGCCTATGCAGTAAGTAAATTAAGTAGATATACGAGTAATCCAGGAGTAGAACACTGGAAAGCAATTATAAAGGTTCTAAGATATCTCCGATTTACTCGTAACATTGGGCTTAATTATACTAGATAACCAGCAGTACTTGAAGGATACTATGATGCAAATTGGATATCGGATACTAGAGACTGAAAATTCACCAGTAGATATGTCTTTACTCTTGGTGGGGCAGCTGTATCTTAGAAATCTTCCAAACAGACTTACATTGCTAGTTCTACTATGGAATCAGAATTCATAGCTTTAGATAAAGCTGAGGAAGAGGTAGAATGACTTCGCCACTTCCTTGAAGATATTCCAATGTGGCCAAAATTGGTGCCTGCTATTTGTATACATTGTGATAGTCAATCAGCAATAGGTAGAGCACAAAGTCATATGTATTACGGTAAGCCGCGACACATTCGTCGTCGACATAACATCGTAAGACAACTACTCTCTAATGAAATTATTTCCATTGAATATGTGAAGTCTAAAGACAACATAGCGGATCCACTAACCAAAGGGTTAGTAAGAGAGTTAGTTGAGAATTCATCAAGAGGAATGAGACTTAAGCCTATTAAATAAGAGTTACCATAACAGCAACCCAACCTAGTTGACTGGAGATCTCAAGATCTAGGTTCAAAGGGACAACCGAGTTGTGTATGACTCATAAAGATCACTAAGGAGTCAAACTCCTATCCATTTCTATGATGAAATAGGCCCTGTTTGGTACAGCTTAATTTCAGCTTATTTCAGCTTTCAGCTTAATTTAAGCTATTTTGATGTGTTTGGTTTAACTTATAGCTTATAGCTTATAGCTTTGTGGAAGTCAGAAAACAGCTTATTCTTTAAGTGGGGCAGGAGATGCTTTAAGAATAAGCTGGAAATCAGCTTAAGCTGAAAGTTATAAGCTATAAGCTGTTTAGGCATAAGCTATAAACACTTTCCCACAGCTCTACCAAACAGGGCCATAGTGATGTTTGCAGCGTTTTAGATTAAGTAATACTTTTAATGATTCTTATATCTAGGAATACCTAGTGGAGTATGGCAAGATACTCTTCATAAGAATCACCTATATGAGTGTGAATTGGGCCGGTTCTATGAGATTTGTGAAAGGCTACAATTCTCTAGAGCACTCATAAAAGACCAGGTTGTTCAGGGCCAAAATGACCACAATAGTGAGAACTAAACTGTGTCTGGTGATATACTGTGTGAGTTCTATTGTCTTGGTTTACACAAATGGCTGAACAGTTCAAGATATCATGTTCACTGGTTAGCTAGTAAAACCAATAGTGTCTCACAAGGGAAGGTTCAAAGCCAAAAGCTACCTATCCTTTGTAGAATATTTTCAATTTCTGTACTCTCTGTAATTAGATCATGTTGTTACATTTTCTCTCCGTCAAATTCTATTCATGTGGGAGATTGTTGGAATTTATGGTTTTATAGGCTTATTTTGGGCCAATTGTGAGCCCAAATTTGAGTGGGTCCCAAACGTCTTTTGGGGTGGAGAGGTGACGTGTTCCTTGTCGCATGGCAAATCACCCAGTGAAGACGGTTCATCAAAACTATTTATAAGTAAAAGAGAAGTTGACGTTATTTTTGGATTTGTGGAATGGACAATTAAAGAAGTAAATGTAAGTTTCTTTGTAATGGTAGTCCCACAATGAAACTTAAAAGAACTTATGTGTGTATATAAGTTCTAAGTGGCAACACTTGGGTTGGGCCCCAAGGGGTACCCCAAGTTTGTAGAATGGAGGAGTTACGGACAAAGTGGGCCTTAGCACAAACCACCATACAGGCACTCGTGCGCCGCCGACACCATCCTTCCAACCAGACGGCCGAGCCGAGCCGGGTTGTGGATCGGGTCGGGTTGGGTCGGTTCTAACTTTAATTTTTTTGACAAAATTTGTTTAAATTTTTTCAAAAATTCTTGCGGCAAAATTTAATTTTTCTAAATGAAATTATTTCAAAATTTTCAACAAATTTGAATTCAATTTTCTGTCCAAAACATTTCCTCCTCATGTCCAAGTTCCAACGGTCTAGCAGGTTCAAACAACCAAACAAATTTGGTTTTTCCAGATAGAGTCAAAACTAGGTTCAAACAGATCTTGCACCTGTTCCAGTTTCAATTCATATTTATTCAGTTTGAAATTCATACATGTTCGGCTCTATAAATACCAAATCTGTTCCATCAATTGTTTCATTCCGAAAAATCTATTTTCCTTGCCTTCCTTTATGCTCTCTTGCATATATATTCTACATATTATTTAAAGAAAATCTCTAAGAGTATAGAACACAAGTTTTGTTCGCCGTACAGATTGTCTGGAGTGCTACTACAATCTGTGAAAGATCATTGTATCCTGAGAGATAGACGTCATTTATCCGCAAGCACCGAAGGAGGCGAATCTATGTTAAGGACAGAGTGTCACACACTCGACTTGATCATTTGTGTACTTATTCACATCGGTAAATAAATTCTACAAGTAATTTATTTTTATTTGTTTGATTTAGTTTTAAATTATTTATTTTACACAGAAGATTGGTCCAACACTTTCATCGCAGATGGGTGTTTGGACACAACACAAAACCTAACCCCCAATGAACACAATGTTCTAACTATAAACTCTTTACTTCTCAATCTCACACTTTCAACAGATAACACAAGCATTTGGGTTTTCCTCAGCATTATGGATATGGTAGTATTGAGTCATGTAAGGATTGTAAGCTCTGTAGGCCTTCACAAGCTCTTCAATCTGCTTTTCTTCATCATTCTTCTTATCATCACCTTTTTTGCCCTCTTCTTTCTTGGCTTCTTCTTGTTTTAGCTATTCTTTTTTTTTTTTTTTGGGCTCTTTGGATCATCACCTTTTTTGCCCTCTTCTTTCTTGGCTTCTTCTTGTTTTAGCTATTCTTTTTTTTTTTTTTTTTTCGGGCTCTTTGGCCTGCCTAATAGTCACTACGGTTCGTAATTTGCTCACTACAATGACAGGATCAACGGATTCGATCACTATCAATTTCTTCTCATTCATGTCCATAACAATTGAATCAATCCCTACATTGTTTGGAGAATCAAAACAGATTGATCAGTGAGTTGCTCAACTAGACAAAAATATAGAGTCCACTTTTAAACTTGCTTCCTCGATAACAAAGTATTCTTCCTATCATGTTTGTGTGGACGTAGGTTATGAACCAAACAACATAAATCATGTGCGTGTGCTTTTTGTTGTTTCCCATTGATTTATTTTGATAAGTTTGATACCCAAATAACCACTGTTTCATAACAAAGATGCATATTTGAAAATTAGGTGTGGCAAAGCCATGTAATACCTGTGAGGCTACTAATTGTTTTCATGGCCTCCTGCTTGGCCTTTTCATCATGCACATCCAATTTCAATACTACTTTCTGCAACAAAAACAACAAAAAAGAAGAAGTTAGAAAAGCATTGAAAAGGGCTTAAAAAAAGATGATTCAAAAACAGCGTGTAAGATTACAATCCTCTTTAGAATCTGTTTCTGAAGAGGAAAAAAAAATCAAAAGTGAAAATCCACTAAGATTCTCAGTTAGGACCACATAATAAAGCACTTTGGGAAAATTCAAGATTCATGGTTTTGGAATTCATAACATGTATAATTCATGTTTTTCTAAGAAAATGAAGGGAATTGAAACTTAGATTCTTTGTAAAATGAAAGAAACCTATTAATAAATGGGCTCAAAATTCACATAAAAACAAGAGAACAAGTATAGATTAGATTAAGAACACAACATATTGTTCATGTTTTTGAAACTCACAACATATAATTCATGTGTTTCTCTAAGAAAACGAAGGAATTGAAGCCTAAATTCTCTTTGAAATAGCAGAAAAATCGATAAATGGGCGAGAGAGAGAGAGAGAGAGAGAGAGAGAGAGTGATTCCAAAACAGAGTATGGGTTAGAAACCCATCAAATGGGTATGAACTAATCATAATAAAGATGAATTACAATCAAACCCATCAAATTAAAATACATCCCACAGAAAATGAAGGGAATCTAAACGCAAATTCTCATTAAAATGATAGAAAATACAAAACCCATCAAGAAATGGACTCAAAATTCACATAAATACCAAAAGAAATAGCAAAACAAGTATGGATTAGAAACCCATGAAATTGAACCCCCCTTTGATCAAAATCTGGCAAAATAAAAACACACATACATGGAAATCTACAAACATATATGTGCAACATGTATGTACGCACATTAAAAGAAACAGAACAGAGGAAACAAAGAGAAAATTCACCTTCTTTTCCATTGAAGTTAGAGAGAGAATTATGAACAGGATTTGAAAGGACTTAAACGAATAAACTAATAATCTATCTGTTGTACAAATTATGTGATCAACTAAAACAAATAGATTCATATTAAAATTTTAGAACCAAAAACATGCTGAAATTTACAAAAATTCGTAATAAATAAAATTAGTAAAAAGAAGCAAACCGAAGCCTGTGTGATGCCACAGTGTCCTTAAAACTGATTCACCATCTCCCGATGGATGCTAGAGGTACGCCGGCGTCTGTCTCTCAGGATACGACAGTCGAAACCAGCTAATATAGAAGCACCCTCTAAATAGCTTTAGCGAACTTGATAGTGGATGCACTATCTCTAACAAGAATCAAAGAAGCGGCTAACAAAAGAAGATATGAAAATTTTTCTTTGGTGTAAAAAACCATCTCCAACTTTTTATCTCAAAACACTATTTCATTTTCCATCACAAAACCTCTCTAAAAACAACCTACTAAGTTAGAGGAGACAAGCCTCTATTTATACTAGTAAGGGAAAGTGTTAGCCATGAAGGCTAACATCAACAGTGTCATCAAATGTCATCAAGTCTAGCCATTAGGGCTAGAGTTACAAAAGTTCAAAACTCCAAAACCATTATATAAATCATAATGTGTATATAATGTATAAGTTTTGAGAATTAAACTAGATGGGTTGCGAAATGGATACGGGTGTTGGTTCACAACCCGATCCAAGCTCAATCTCAAACACATGCACAAACTAAGCCCAACATAGCTTGTAACAATCCCAACCTACGATTAACGTTAATCCATGATTTGATATACCTAATAAGTTATTAAGACTAGATTTTGAATTAATTGCATATGTGTTGCATAATTTGTGATTTTATATGTTCATCGTAGACACATCTATTTGAATTTATATTTTGTTCTGTAAATCGAAGGCCTTATCTACATTCAATCACGAAATTGGCTTGATATATGTGCTATTTGGAATTTTTAGAACATTATGGTAAGCTCAATTGAAATTCGATTCGGAACGATTAAATTAGATTAATTTGATACCCATTTGATTAGTTTTAAAAACCAACATTAATGAAGCCTATATAAGGCACCTATTGCCTCCACTAATCTTTCTTCCCTTCATTCAACACACTTTTGAGCCTATACACACACACAACCGTGAGAGTGAGAGAAGGGGGAGAGATTGGAGTCAATTTGAAGCCAAGCTAGCAAGAATTAGAGGAATTGAGGAGAATTTAAGAGTTATAACTTCAAGACTTGTGAACTCACGCCTCTAGGTAAGAATTTTATCCTTAAACCTTGAAATCTAGACGATAATGCATGAACTCAAGAGAATTATGTTGATTTATGCAAGAATTGAGTTAGAACTTGGGAATTGTAAGTCATTCCATGCATGCATGTCCATATCATGAAGTTTTGAAGTTATTTTCATGAGAAATCTCACATGCATGTTCATATTGTGGTTGTAATCTAAGCATTCACCATGTTTTTGAGTAGAATATTTTATTTAGTCATGTTTTGGGAAGCTATGAACTCAAATTATGCATGCATGTCATATTTATAGCATGTTCCTACACTTCAAGTTGAATTTTGCTAAATTAGCAAGCCATTGGGCCATGATTTCTTGTAATGATCTTTAATTCATGTTGTTTTGAGAGTTTCCATGTATTTTCTTAAGTTTTGGCCCAGAAAAATCAAGTTTTGGTGCTTAAAGATTAAGTTTTGAACTTGGAGATCAAATCTAGAAATTTCAGAATTTGCATCTACGCTCGAGCACAGGAATCCATAAGTTTTGAACTTGGAGATCAAATCTAGAAATTTCAGAATTTGCATCTACGCTCGAGCACAGGAATCCACGCTCAAGACCACTCTGAGTGCGTGCACTTCCGCTCGAGCGACCTGAAGTACGCTCGAGCGTAAAATGCAAGCCTTCAGAAGTTCTTGTGTTTTGCAGCATGCTCGAGTGACAAAAGTCACGCTCGAGCAAAGGTCTGAGTCTTACACTCGAGCGGAGACTGAGCGTCCGTCGAGCGTAAAAAACAAGCAACTAGTACTTTTTTTCAAAATTTATAGACCGCTCAAGCGAAGGGAGTTACGCTCGAGCGGACCCTCACATTCTACATGCCCACTCGAGTGTGGACCCTATTTTCAGCAAGTTTTGAAAAATATTTTTAAGTGCATTTCTGCATCCGCATTCCATCCTAAGCATTCCTAGGCCATGATTAAGACATCATAATGAGGTTAATGAAGTAGAAACACACCAGAACAAGAAGGGACTAAGTTATTATTTTCGGGTGTGTAATTCAATATACGTTCGTTCTGTAATTGTGTAGGTCACACGCCACAAGGAAGTTGAATTGTCTACTTGCAGCATGTGTTATCTGTGAGTAATAACTTAGTAAAGCTATGTTCAAGTTAAATTATTTTCGGTATATGAAATAAGATCTGTTGAATGAAATGTCATGTTTTATACTATGAATGATTGTCTAACAATAACAAGCATTTATGACATTATTCTATGATTCAAGTATGTTACAAGTGACATTATGCTATGATTCAAGTGTGTTACAAGTGACAGGTACCGGAGGTTCCTTATGGAACTGACAAGCTATTTGTACCCGGCTGGAGGTTCCTAGGTGGAACTGACAAGTTTACAAGTTCCCAGTCCGAAGGTTTCTTTATGGAACTGACAAGTTATCCTTAAAGTTATTTTCATGAGAAATCTCACATGCATGTTCATATTGTGGTTGTAATCTAAGCATTCACCATGTTTTTGAGTAGAATATTTTATTTAGTCATGTTTTGGGAAGCTATGAACTCAAATTATGCATGCATGTCATATTTATAGCATGTTCCTACACTTCAAGTTGAATTTTGCTAAATTAGCAAGCCATTGGGCCATGATTTCTTGTAATGATCTTTAATTCATGTTGTTTTGAGAGTTTCCATGTATTTTCTTAAGTTTTGGCCCAGAAAAATCAAGTTTTGGTGCTTAAAGATTAAGTTTTGAACTTGGAGATCAAATCTGGAAATTCCAGAATTTGCATCTACGCTCAAGCGTATGAATCCACACTCGAGCGACCGCTCTGAGTGCGTGCACTTCCGCTCGAGCGACCTGAAGTACGCTCGAGCGTAAAATGCAAGCCTTCAGAAGTTCTTATGTTTTGCAGCATGCTCGAGTGACAAAAGTCACACTCGAGCAAAGGTCTGAGTCTTACACTCGAGCGGAGACTGAGCATCCGTCAAGCGTGAAAAACAAGCAACTAGTACTTTTTTTCAAAATTTACAGACCGCTCAAGCGAAGGGAGTTACGCTCGAGCGGACCCTCACATTCTACATGCCCACTCGAGTGTGGACCCTATTTTCTGCAAGTTTTGAAAAATATTTTTAAGTGCATTTCTGCATCCTCATTCCATCCTAAGCATTCCTAGGCCATGATTAAGACATCATAATGAGGTTAATGAAGTAGAAACACACCAGAATAAGAAGGGACTAAGTTATTATTTTCGGGTGTGTAATTCAGTATACGTTCGTTCTGTAATTGTGTAGGTCACACGCCACAAGGAAGTTGAATTGTCTACTTGCAGCATGTGTTATCTATGAGTAATAACTTAGTAAAGCTATGTTCAAGTTAAATTATTTTCAGTATATGAAATAAGATCTGTTGAATGAAATGTCATGTTTTATACTATGAATGATTGTCTAACAATAACAAGCATTTATGACATTATTCTATGATTCAAGTATGTTACAAGTGACATTATGCTATGATTCAAGTGTGTTACAAGTGACCGGTACCGGAGGTTCCTTATGGAACTGACAAGCTATTTGTACCCGGTTGGAGGTTCCTAGGTGGAACTGACAAGTTTACAAGTTCCCAGTCCGAAGGTTTCTTTATGGAACTGGCAAGTTATCCTTACCCGACCAGAGGTTCTTCTATAGAACTGACAAGTACAATTTAAGATTCTCTGTATGTGTTCTGTCAGTGCTAGGGAATGCACTATGTAAGATTTAGCATGAATCTCTAATCTCTGTATACATGTTCAGAATGAGAATACAAATGTGAACTTTGGTTTCAGACACAGTTATGGGACATCATTCATTTACCCCTTTACTCTGTTATTATTCACTAGGCCATCGCTCACTAGTTATTTATTATGTATATAGGTGAGCAGGCTCGCGATTAGGCTTAAGATGATGCCTGAAGCATTTTTGTGTTTGTCAACCACCTTTTGCACCTCACGAGGAGGTTTCAGATCAAGTTATGTCTTGTGGCTGTGTTAATATGAATGTATAAGACTGTTCCTTTTGCTCTATGAACAAGTTTTCCTTTTATATGTACATGAGGTGACGTGTAAATACTGTACTTATGATATCATTCGTATGTTTATAAAAGTTAAGATTATCAGTCCCATGTATGTCTATACAGCTTGATGGACTATGTATATTTTTCTTTTATGTATTTACTTCTGTAGCCCCTAATTACAAATCTAATTGTTAAGAGGCCTTCTGTAATCCAAGGATTACTGCCCGGTTACGACGCTAAACCTATAGGGGCAGGTTTGGGTCGTGACATAGCTCAACCCAAAGCTCAAGACTAGGTCCAAGTCCAAGTCTAAGACCAAACCCAGCACATGCACAAGTACAAGTCTAGGCCCAATCCAAACCAAGACTAAGTCCAAATCTAAACCTAAAACTCAATGGTTTTGGCTCATTATTTTTGTATTACAATCTTCTCACTTAAGATAATACAAAACCACCCAGACCCACCCCAACCCGCAGTTAGGTCCCACTTTAATTTAGAATTAAAGTTGTCGAAAAATCATTATTTTCTAACAATCCCCCACATGAATAAAATTGGTCGAATAAAGAAAAATGGACAACACTTAATAACAAAGACTCTGAAGAGAGAGCACACAGAATAACCCTGCATCAGAAAAGGTAGATGTTGGCCTTGAACCTTTCGTAGTGAAAGCCTATCGGATTTATTGGCTGACCAATGAACGTGATGTCTTGAACTGTTCTGCCGTTTGTGTAAATCGAGACAATAGACCTCACACAGGAGTTACTCCAACCATTATTCTTGTTCTCACTGGTGTGTCCGGTTTGGCGTTAGAACACTAGCCTGGTTCAGTGATTGTTCTTTTAAAGAATTCAGCCTCGTCAATTCTTAAAGAAGTGGCCCTACTTCGCACTCACATAGGTGACCTACATAAGGTATCTCTATGTACCGCGGTTGACTATTCATAACACTTAGGTCATTAAAAGTATCAACTTAACCTCCCACCCCACAGGGTATCACTATATAATGGAATGGGCAGAAGGATTTACCTCCACAGTGACTCATCTGTTACACACAATTAGGTTGTCCCTTTGAACCTAGATCTTGGGATCTCCAGTCAACTAGGTTGGGTTTTCCATTCCGGTAACATTCGCTAAAGGCCTTAACCCTATTCCTTTTGACGACTTTCGTACTAACTCTCGATTTAACCTTTTGGTTAACAGATCCGTAATATCGTCTTTAGACTGTATATAGTCTATAGTGACAACACACGAGAGTAGTCGTCGTATGGAACTATGTCTTTGACGAAAATGTCTAGACCTTCCATCTATGCCCTACCAATACTTGATTGGTTGTAGCAAAGGATACAAAATTGATAGCACAACTTTTAATCAACATGGAATACCCTTAAACAAATGGCAAAGCCATTCAGTTATTTTAGTAGCTTTATCTGAAGTACTTAATTTTGATTCCATCATTGATCTCGTGATACATATTTGATTGGAAGATCTCCAAGACATTGTTGCAGCTCCAATTTAGAGAACTATATCCACTAATGGATTCATAGTCTTTGCATCAGATATCCAGTAGGCGCCTTTTGTACCCTTCTAGTACAACTAGATATCAAGTGTTATGCAACCCATAATCCAGGGTGTAGTGTAAATAATCCAACACCAACATAATGCCCTTCTAATGAGTAGCATTAGGATTACTCGTGTATCTACTAAACCTGCTACCTGAGTAGGCTATACATGGCCTTGTACAACTCATTAGATACTTCAAAATTCCAATGACCCATGGATATTCCATTTATTCTTGGTCAAACGGAGACTAAAGTCTACCGAAATCTTTAACACATTTGTATTTGACTTATACTTCTCAAGACTCTTATCAAAATAATGACTCGTGTATCTACTAAACCTGCTACCTGAGTAGGCTATACATGGCCTTGTACAACTCATTAGATACTTCAAAATTCCAATGACCCATGGATATTCCATTTATTCTTGGTCAAACGGAGACTAAAGTCTACCGAAATCTTTAACACACTTGTATCTGACTTATACTTCTCAAGACTCTTATCAAAATAATGAGATTGAGAAAGTACACTACCAGCAAATGGTCAGGAAATCTTAATTCTCAAATATACATCTGCAAGGCTCATGTCAAACTTAAAGTTCAACATCCACTTGGTAGTATTGAAAATCTTCTCATAACTGCCAATAATGAGCATGTCACGTACACAAACACAACACGACATATACTATTGTCAATGTCTTTGACATAAACACATTTGTTAATACCTATTTAACAACATAGTGCAATCAAATTTCTCATGTCATTATTTCTGTACTTATTTCAAATCATAAAATGATTCTCAAGCTTACAATCTTTCGTCCTGGAATCGACAAACCCTTTAGGTTGTTCCATAAGGATTTATTCAATTAAATCTTCATATAAGAAAAAGCTATATGAACATCCATCTTGATGTATCTCCAGACTTTGCATAATTGCGATCACACTCACCATAACTGGTGATCACGTATCAAAACAATCCAGGCCTTCTCTTTGCCAATATCCTTTGATAACAAGCCTATCTTATCGGCTTTCATTTCACTTGCATCCCAAGGCTTACTACCTATGCAAGAAAAAGTTAAATTAATAACTTATTTCTAGAGAAATCACAACTACAAAGAAGCTTTTAGCCATACTAGCCACCATATAGGTTTAAGAAGATTGGACAAAAGAACTTTAAAGTCCTAGTCTATTTACATCTTCTAGGCTTATCTCTTTCTTCTAAAGATCCACTTGCTCTCCAAGGCCTTACTGCCTGGGGGTAGATCAACCAAGTATGGTTCTGTAAGATGGAGTCAATCTCACTCTTAATTGCTTCTTTCTACAAAGGACTTTCAGATTAAGTCACGGTTTTATAGAAAGTTTGAGGTTCTTCCTCTAACATATAAGTCAAGAAGTCCAGACCTTCAACCTCTTTCATGGAACTCGGAATCCCTCCTTGGGGACGACAAGGAAATACATCTTCAAAGAAAGATGCATTTCTTGATTCCATGAAAGTATTCTTGTGTATATCTGGAAATGTCGACCTATACACAAGAAATCGATACGCACTGTTATTATGTGCATAACCGTTGAATACAAAGTTAACAGATTTTTAGACTTATCCTAACCCTCTTGGGTTTAGGTATTACCACTTTTTGCATGACACCCCCACATTTGTAGAATTTATACAAAAGCTCTTGGCCTTTTCTAAAAATTCATACGGGGTCTTCAAACAATTCCTTGTGTCACAATGATTATGAAACTCTCAAAATCATATCACAATAAATACATTCCCAGACTGTCATCAATCGAATTAGGAACCCAAACATATTTGGTCCAACCTATCACTCTGAAGCCAATAGTCTTACTATTAGGAAACACAAATCCAATGTCCAATAGTCTACTATTCGGAACTTCATAACGTGGCCAGTAGTCTTATCACTAGGAATCACTAATTTCTCAGCATGTGGTCAATAGACTTTCTACTCAGGGCTGGCCCTGCAGGCAGGCAAGAGAGACCTGCGCCTTGGCCCCCCAAATTTAGACTGAAAATAGAGGTCCCCAAATATAATTTTGTGTTTTAGATATAAAAAAAAAGGTCCAAATACTATAAGCCCAATTGAGCATAGGGCCCAAAAAAAAAAAAAAAGCAACGAGACTAGATTTTTATTTTTTTTTAAGTATTTGTAATAATTACTTTATATCTTAATATATGAAAGTAAATTTTTGTTTATAATTTTAATGATTATATATGCATGTAATTTTTTTTGTAGGTACAAATAAATAAAAAAGTTGTAACTTATAGTTTTATTCATGAATTTCTTTTCTTCTTTTTTTTCAATGTAAGAGGGCCCCATTTTTGAAATTCGCCTTGGGTCCCCTAAATCTCAGGGCCGGCCCTGTTTCTACTACTTGGAATCACAATGTTTTAACCTGTGGTCAGTAGTCACTTTACTATTAGGAATCACAACGTCCTGACATAGGATCAATAGACTCTTTCATTACTAGGAATCATCATGTCTTGACATATGATTAGTAGCCTCTCCAATACTAGGAACCATCATGTCTTGACATGTGATCAGTAATTTGTTTACTATTAGGAACCACAATCTCATATTGTATAGTCAATCGTCTAACACCTCCTAGGAACAACCAGTTTTCTATCTCTGTGATTAGTGATTTTGTACTCACTAGGAGCCACTAATTTAAGAATATATTTGGAATTTAAAAATTCAAAAAAATATTCACCCACCCAAACAGGTTGTCTTATCTTTGCTTTCAAGCAAAGTCACATAGCAATCATATATGCTATAATTGACACAATGATAACATACTAGTTACCTCTGATTAATTCAGAGATATTATCATGCAATCTTATGATTTCCTTAATCATGCTTGATCTCTCTAGATCTTCCTTTAAGAACCTCGTAAGGCTTAAGGTTGTCAAGTGGAACATCATTTCTGTTGTCACCTCTTGAAGCCATTTCTAAAAAATCACAACATAATTTCACCATTCTATTTTTTCAGAAACTAAACTTAACACTAGAAAATCCACAGTTTGAAATTTAATTTAAAACTGATCTCACCACTTACCCTAGAATCGAACATGGCCAAAAAAGTTTCAGGAAGACTGGAGAGATCATATCGGTCCCACTTAAGATCCAGTTAACCTTAAACAAAACTTTCAAGAGCTTGTTGACTCCTAGTCCATAGGAAACAAATTTAAAATTAAGTTTTCCAATGGATAAATTAGGTTATAACAAACCAATTTCCAAACAAATAAAATTTGCTACCATAATTATACCACTCATAAAAGTTAACCAGTACTCTCAGAACTGAGCCCATTATTTCTGAATAAAATCATAAATATTTTAACTAATGCTAAAATTTGGTTTCTTTTCTCAAAACCAAAACACTTTGGGAATAATTAGATTTTAACCAAAACTTTCTCCAAACTTAGTTTTCCAACACTTTGGGAATAAAATGATTAAACCCAAAGACTTCCTTAAACCCCAAAGGTTTAAAACCAAATCCGTCTTAGTTGTCATTTCTAAGCAAATAAGAACTACTCTTTAGCCAAGGCTAAACACTTTGGTTTCTATTACAGAAAACCAAACCAAATTCCAAACTTACAAGCAATTTAAAAATTGCTAACCAAATTACAAGTAATGTAAAAAATTGCCACAACAATAATTAAGCAAATAAAATCCTTCTAACAATACAAGCAAATAAAACTTGCTTTTACACAATTGGTAAAAACTAACTAAACCCAAGCAAAAAAATTGCTGTAATTAATCCATAAGGATTCTATTTAGTCCAAAAGCCTTTCCACGTTTAGGTATTCCTGTTCAACACAAAGGCTAGTAATCCAAATATTTTTGTTTTGACATCCCAAATACTATTCATTTGATTTTGTATTTGTTTTTTCCAATCCCTTTTGCATAGATATTCTTGTAAAGAAAATTAGTAGAAAACCAAGGAAAAAATACAAACCAAATATTCTGAAAAAACTATAAAATAATAAATTAATTTAATAGTAAAATTAAGGAAAATTAAAATGCTACACAAGTTATACAATTAAACTTATAACTCTAAAAATTAAATAAAATTAATTGACAAGAGTTATATGAAATTATAACACCATAATCATGTAAATAAATATACAATTAACACTTTTAATTGGTAAGAGTTAAAAAACCTTAAACATTATAACCATGAGTTATATATCAATTATTACATAATAAACATGTAAATAAATTGAAACAATTAACACTTTTAATTATCAAGAGTTACAAAACCTTAAACATTATAACCATGAGTTATCTATCAATTATTACATAATAAACATGCAAATAAATTGAAACAATTAACACACTTAATTGTAAATAACTCATGTGAATAATTCTAGCAATTAACATGTGAATTATTTTAGAAATAAAATCATGCAAACAATTCTAGAAACATAAGCTAAAATTTAAAAAAAAATAATAATAAGCATGTAACCAATCAAAATGCATAATTTAAAATCATGAATTTCAAGGAAACACAAACAGTGGACTTAATGCAAATTGATTTGTAACCAAAACATTTCACATTGACTTCTAGGCATAAAAACCTAATTGAATTTATATAAAGCAATAGCACGCATATATGTAAAGAGAAATGGAGTTCTTGATATTATTCCCTTACACACACAAAATACAGAGATGGTCTATGTATATATAACAAGAGATAATGACCACAACTACCTAACCAACAATTAACTACTTGTGGTTAAGGCCTAACAAACTAACTACCTTCCTAACAAACTAACTACCTCAAGAATACTCTAGAATGCACTGATAAGCTGAAGCCTTCTGTGCTGAAACCGTAGCTTGTTTGGCTGCTTGAGTGGCTTGAGTGGCTGGGTTCTCAGATTGCTTATCACAATCTATGTCATTGACAAAATACCCTTTCACATTTGAGCTGTACAACTTTTTATATAGCTATTTATTTTTAATAAAATTAGTATTTTTAAAATATTCTTATCTATATCTATCTAATAAGATCATGTTGATTATAAAATTTTAAAAAGTAAAATTTTACTGTGAAGTTATTGTTAACAAAATAAAATTTTACTTTATTAACATTATTTTTGGTAGCTGCTATTCTCATCAATCCAACTAAGTTCAGCTGAAGTTTGTGCTAAAGCCCTATATTCAGCTTCAGATGAAGATCTAGCCACAGTTGGTTGTTTCTTGGAAGACCAAGAGATAAGATTAGGACCAAGATAGACACAGAAACCAGTGGTGGACCTTCGATCAAGAACATTACCTGCCCAATCGGAGTCTGAATAAGCATTGAGAAGAAGAGGGCCAGCAGTGAAATGAAGCCCATAAGAGATGGTGCCTTTAAGATACCTGAGTAATCTTTTGACTGAGAGAAAATGACTAGTCATAGGAGAGTGCATGAACTGACAAAGATGATTAACAACAAAAGCTAAATCAGGTCTGGTAAGGGTAAGATATTGAAGAGCTCCGACCAAACTTCTGTACAAAGCTGGCTGAGAAAAGAGAGTATCATTTGTTGCAGTAAGAGAACTAGAAGTAGACTTAGTAGCCATGGGAGAAGAGTAAGATTTGCAGTCACTCATACCAGCCTTGGCTAACAACTCTGAGGCATATTTTTGCTGAGAAAGAACATAACCAGAAGCAGTTTTGGTGACAGAAATACCCAAGAAATAATTGACAAGGCCAAGCTCCTTCATGGAAAAGGTTGTATGCATATGTGTAATGAGAGAGTTAATATAGAGAGGATCACTTCCTGTGAGAAGAATGTCATCTACATAGATGAGAAGAATGGTAATAGCAGTAGAAGTTTTCTTAATAAAAAGAGAAGAATCACACTGACTTTGAACAAATTTATGAGTGAGAAGAAAGTTGGAGAAGGTAGAGAACCAAGCTCGAGGAGCTTGCTTTAAACCATAGAGAGCCTTGTGTAACTTGCAAACAAGCTGAGATTTATTAGGTTGAACAAAACCTTGAGGTTGGACCTTATACACTTCTTCGTCAAGAACACCATGGAGGAATGCATTAGATATGTCAAGTTGCTTAATGGACCACTCAAAATGTAGTGCAAGACATAACAGAATTCTGATAGTTGGTTGCTTAGCCACAGGGCTAAAAGTCTCATGATAGTCCACCCCTTTAGTTTGAAGAAAACCCTTGGCAACTAACCTTGCCTTATATCGAGCTATAGAACCATCTGAATTTTTCTTGATTCGATAAACCCATTTGCAGCCAATTGCTTGTTTTCCAGGTGGGAAATCAACTAAAGACCAAGTGCCTTGTGTTTGTAAAGCTTGAAATTCTTCAAGCATAGCAGTTTGCCAAACAGAGGAACAGGCTGCCTGTTGATAAGTTTGTGGTTCAGACTGAAGAGAGGAAGAAGAAGGACAAGCAATGAAAGAAGAGTGAGGAAAAGTTGATTTGGATCTGGTAATCATGGGATGAGTATTGGAATTGAGACAAGGGAGATCAATAGAAATATTGGAAATAGGAATCTGATCAGATGGAACTGTGGATAGAAGAGGAATAGAAGAGGAAGAGACTGTTTGAGCTTCTGAGTGAGGTTCAATAGCAGACGAAGAGACTTCCTGAGCTGAGGGCAGGTCAGTAGGAGAAAAGAAAATAGGTGGCTGAGCTACTGACTGAGGGATAGCAGCTGGTGGTGAAACTGGAAAAGAATGTGGAGCTTGCTGTGACTGAGCTGGTGATGGAGGAATGGCAGTTGTAGGCTGAGGTGCTGCAGTTGGTGAAGCTGGAAAGGGATGTGTATGCTGAGGTGCTGTAGTAGAAACATGTGATGGAAAAGAAGAACTGGACTGGTCTGAGGGAGACCAAAAGAAATTCAGCAAAGGTGATATGGAAGAGGATGCAGAAACAGAAGGATGAGAAGACTGAAAAGGAAAACATAGTTCATCAAAGATCACATGTCTAGAGATTTACTCAAATATTCGCCCCCATTGTCACTCCTTAAGACTTGAAGATGAGTATGAAACTGATTCTCAACAAAACTTTTGAATTCAAGAAATTTGTCAAACACCTCACTTTTGTAATGAAGAGGAAAAACCCAAGTAAATTTGCTAAAATCATCAATGAACAACACATAGTATTTAAAACGAGAATTAGAAACAGAAAATGGACCCCACACATCTGTGTGAATAAGGGCCAAAGGTTTATTGACAGTGGAATTAGACAAAGAAAAAGGCAACCGATGACTTTTACTAACACAACAATGTTCACACAGACTGGTGGTCTTGTTAGACAAAGTTGAAGACTTAGAACCTAAGTGATGATGAGCCATAATGTGCTGAAGTTTCTTGGAAGATGGATGACCAAGTCTTGAATGCCAATCAGCTGAAGTAGTAGAACATGAAAGACAGACTGATGAAGGAACAAAGGAACCAGCAGAGGATGAAGAAATGAGTGGATAAAGGCCATTGGTGTAGCAACCTTTATACAGAATATTCTGAGTATTCTTGTCCTGAACAAGAAAGAAATCTTTATCAAAAGTAATAGTACAATGATTATCCTTGGTTAACTGATGTACTGAGAGTAAATTGGAAGAAAGAGTAGGCACATGCAACAGGTTGGTAAGATGAAAAGGAAAAGAAGGAGTAGGAAGGAGTCCTTTACCAGTATGAGCAATGGGAAGAGTAGAACCATCACCAATAGCCACTTGATCTTGACCTTGATACGGTTGGTAAAGAGAGAGGTTACGTAAATCATTTGTCATGTGGCTAGTGGCTCCAGAATCAAGAAACCAGTTGGTTTCAGATGAAGAAGGAGAAGAGATGGAGGATGTATGAGCAGAGGCTACATAAGCTTGACTTTGACCTGGAGAGGATTTGAAGGATGAAGAGGAAGCTTGAGAACTCTGAAAAGCAGCATCCAATCTGTGCCAACAGTCTAGAGCAGT